ATAGATATGAGTAACTCCACTCATCCAACTAAAGAAAGAAGAAATATCTAATTAGAGATCATTACATTACTGAGCTTCCACTACATATCCCATCAAATACCTCTTAAATCAGTAAGAGCATTAATCTATAAGAGCCAGATACTTACACTCCAACCAATGGCAGAGCATTCGCCTTTGGATCAGACTCAAGCAGCAAAAGTAGCTTTCGTGTCTGGTCCATAGTAAGGTAGCTGAAACAAAGATGATTTATTTCTTTATTTTCAGTATTTGGTAAGTCAAAAAATCCTAGAGACAAATGAAAGTTTATGAAGTACCAAAAGAAAAAAAGGTTGGGAAAAAAACCCCTCTTTTTCCATATCTACAGCTTTTCACCAAAGCCCTGTGCATCAAAGAATTATCAAGCACAACCCTTGCTTAATATTCTTTCACTAGCAATGAATCCAGAAGGACAAGTCATGATAAATTTAACAGCAAGTCATAGTGAATTTAAAGAATAACTTTCAGAAATGCATTCACAAGGTCACTCACACTAAAACAGCATTCAGTTGCCTCAAATTATTTCCCTGTTCTACCCTATTGAAACAGTTACCATCAGAATGACAGCTCCTGGCTATCATCTTTATAGCCATGATTAACAGAAAAAGCATTTTTCCACATTTATCTGATGCTTATTTTAGGGCCAGCAGTGGAATTGTTTACACAACTGAATGCTGTTTATAGTTGTTTTGTTAATTAATTATGTACACCTCAGCCTGCCCCAGCAGGAAGGTGCTCCTGAAGACAAAAGCCAGAGATCCTACTGAACAAGCTAAGATTTTTTTCTTGACTCTGTTTCCTGTTTATAATGTTTTTCTAGGTACTAGAAATTATGTCCTTTTGGTGTCAGTTGTTACATTAAAAAGAAAAGCACTACAATCTCCACCTCCCTTTTTTAAGGAACACAACACACTGGCTGGCCAATTAAGGAGCTTGAGCATTATCCTTTACTTACCCACACTTATAAGTGCCTTGAACTTGTGCAATATTCATAGGGCTGTTTAAATTCCTTGCTAGGGCTGTGGGAATAATTGGGACAGACTTCACTGGTGTGTATTCCAAAATATTTGCTGCTGTAACAGAAGCCCAGTGAAAACTAAAACTTAGATTATCCAGGTTCTCTGTGAAAACAACGTGAGCTCTGACAGTGAGCAGTTTAGAAAGATCCAGTGAATCTTTACTGCACAGACTGTCCTGCAGATCCTAGAAGCAGGGAAAAGAGAAAGAAGTTAAAGAACAAAGTTGTCTTCATTTTACTTCTACAATTCAGTTTTTATTACAGTGGAAACTCAGATTATTCATTATAGCTAGCACTACAGTAGGCACTATAGAAATGAAACCTATTAAGTCATGTTTCCAAAGCTCCTGGTTATACTGAATATAATGAATAATAATGTAAAATGTGTTTGAAATTAAACTACACAGATATTAGCACTGCTTTATATTATGCTCAGAAAACCAAGGTTACTTGAATTGTATGAAAACTAATGAAATCATAACAGGCAACTAGAATCTCAAAATGAGCTGTCAGTTTTCAAGAAATCTGTATTCTAACACGTGACATATCAGCCTGAGGAAAATTTAGATGCAAAGTAAACATTACTGGTGCTATACAGACAAATAATTAATGAAATTGATGGCGCATACACTAGACTATCTGTCTATGGGGTCCAGATGAGACATATTTCAGATATAAGTATTAGTCTATAGAGAATTAACAGGTTTTCTTGCATGTCACTTGCCCAGCAATGGTTTTTATGAGCTGCCATGTAAATACTGGAACTCACTCATATGTTTCAAAGAAAAAAATGCTCTTTCTTGTTTAAGTCTGTTGCTACCACAGACGTCCTGCTCATTTTGGGGGGTTAGTGCAGCTGAAGATTTATGATCACACAGCAAGAATTTAGTCCAAGATTTAAAGAGAGTGTAATCCTTAAACTTCTCTGAAGACTACTGATTTCAGCACTTTTCAATATGCTTTTCAATGACTTTCAAACAGCTCATTTCACATAACCAACTAAGCGGCCTTCCTTCAGCCACTACTCTTCTGTGTTTGTTTTAAATCAGTGGGGCTGGAAATCAAGCTCTGTGCACAGTCCAATCTTCCACCTAGAAGGCAGTTCACTGTTTGAAAAACCTCAAGTCTGCCAGCAGCCACCTACCTTGAAAGCCAAGCTGATGTCTTCAGCACTATGCACTATAATGCTGTCTGAAGAAGGTCCCCACGCATTAACTGTACATGGAATCAAGAAGTCTCCAGGAAGGGATGCAGTTGGAACCTTGCCCGATCCGCTGGCAACTTCTCGACCAGGATCAAACCGGTCTATTGTTAGTGTTACGCCTTCCCCATCTTTAAAATAAACACAGCATCAAAGAGCAACAATTCAGGCTCCTTGATAAAGGCTTATTCGACCACTATTGTCTGTGTACCTGATATTTAGAGTTACCTTCATCTACTGTGAGAGTCCCAAGCAAAAAACAGGCAAATGATCTTTCGTCGCTCTGCTTAGCGTGGCGATAGGCAAGTCGCAGGGGTTTCTCCATCATAGACAACTTTGGATTTCTAGAGGGACAATAAGCAGGTTTAAGACCTAAACTACTTTCAGTGCGTCTTACTGCAATAATTTCCTGACTTTTATTATCTTTTAAGTAGAAAATGTTTAAGGCTTTAGGCTGCTTCTTTACATCAAGGCGATAAAGTTAGTGTTTTGTACAATACTGTTGAAATGTTCTCTTACATTCTGTGCAACATCCCAGTGATCCATATTCAAGAATAACCTATTTTAACTGGAGCAGAACTGTATGATCACCTCAACAGTTGTTTGCTTGACTAGCCAAGCAAGCATTGGAGAGCTTTTTTCCAGGGGGATTAAACAAGGAGAGAGAAGAGCTTTGTAGGCTGGAGGGCAACATTGTTGCAAGAACTAGAGATGAACAAGTGAATTATTTTAGTACCAGGAGTACCAGTTAGAAACACTAAGACCAAAACACAAAACCTCCAAGGAGTTTCAGAAACCAAAAGAGCAGGTCACAACGCTTAACTAATTTTGAGCCCATGTTCTCTCATTTTAGCAAAATACTTAATTGGGATTCTAATAGGAGGAGGAGTAGTGTGGGCTCTGTGATGTAGAAATGTAAGTCAGGAAAAGAATTAGATAAATAAAATGACTACTCAATTAATAAAAGGAAGGAATTTGGAAGCTTGGTCAGTAAATATATCAGCATAATTTAGCTTAACATAGCAATTTTGAGTTGGAGAAAGTTCAGCGTTCCAAGTAAAGGAGCAGGTTTACACAAATAGTGATGATGATGCATATTCTACCTGTTCAATAATGAAGTGTGTTCATAAAAAATAAAAGTAATCCATTTTAAGTTTTGTCAGAACGTGTAAAATCAAGAAGCATTATGTAGCAAGGACATGTGGAAGCTGCTCTGACCTGTGTGTAAGGGCTGCTTTCGATTACAATTTATTTTAACTGTTAGCTACCTTAAAAAAAAAAAAAAAAAAAGCTATCCTTACCTGTAATAGGCAAGATGTGAACCAATGACATCACCCATGGGAACTGGGTCCCAAAGCGCATACTTGGACAGGGGGAAACTGAAAGGGACCATTCTATCAGGAACAAAAAAGATGGCAGAAAAGAAGAAAGTAAGATATTAAGTTCAATAAGTTTTCAAATAACATTCGTTGGGAAAAGCAAAAAGTAACTCAGTAAGAAAAACAACCTACTGGACGCACGAATAAGCTGTGCTTGATACAGCATGGGGCAATGAAAAGGATTAGAAACTCCCAGTGTGCACACACACAAATATCACAGTTTGCCAAGCTTAATATTAGATCAACTTCTAAACCCCTACGTGGCTTATCATTTAAAGTCAGCATTAAGCCCATTTAAAACGTGGAAGGCTTCAGAAACAAAGCAGTTGTTGAACTAAGCAATATGGAGTGAGATTGGATCTCCTGCTTCAGAGAGGCCGAGGAAAGCACCACAAACGGATTCACACGAGCACCAATACGCTTGTTATCAGGTGCCTAACCGACCGCACTAACCCTCATGTAAAGCACAGACGTCACAACGGCCTGCAGCAGGAATCTCACTGCTGTTTAACAAACAAACAAAACTTCCTTGGGAGGCACTGGAAATCTCAGGCCCGGCCCAGCTGCTGCCTCAGGAAGGAGCTTCCATCGCTTTAGGGCAGCTCCGGCAGCAGCTCCCCTACCTCGCCCTTAACTGATTCCCGTGGAATCCCCGCCGCTCTCAAGGAAGGGCTGAGCGGACTCCCCCTCAATAGTTACCTCGGCTCTGCTCCAGGCGGAACGGGCTCCATGGGAGCGGCTGCCTCACGGACGCGGTGCCGGCCCGTCCCAACTGGGAGCCAGAGAGGTCCAGAAGCGGCCCCAAGGCCGCGCACCCACAGACGACGCTCCGATGCCCGCCTCACCTCCCGCCGTTCGCACAAACCCTTCGCTCCGCGCCGCCAACTACCACCAGCCAATCACAAGGCACAACGAGACGTGCTCCCGCCCCCGCTGTTCACTTCGAGCCAATCGGCGTGCAGCAGGGATGACTCCCTCTACCAATCGGAGCACACCCCGGGGAACGAACTGCCAGCGCGCGCAGGGGGGTTTAAAAACGGCCCCATTCTAATAAACGGTCCAAGGAGGCGGAGTGCGCGCATGCGTAGTCCGGCGCGACGGCGTTGCTATGGCAGCAAGGGCGCTGCCATCACTGGGCCGGGCCTAGAGGAGCGGAGCAGGATCCTAAGAAGCGACGCGGCCCGCCCCATCCCAGCTGTCTGCCTCAAGGCGCGGGGGCGGTGATCCGGTGTACGCTGCACGCTGAGTTGTAAGGAGAGAGCGGCGCACGGCGCTGGGCGCCGCCCAACGGCCGAGCGGCTACCGGCTCCGAGTGCACGAGCCCCGCCCCTCCCGCCCGGCGCGCGCCTCCGGGGACCCGGAAGCACTTTGCGGTGGCGGGGACACCTCAGCGGCTGTCGGCGGTTCTGCTTCAGCCCCTTCACCGGTCCCGGCCTCGGCGCCCACCGCTGTCCTGCTGCTGCTCCGTCGTCGCCTCCTGCTCCTCATGAAGCCCGTCGTTGTCTTCGTCCTCGGCGGGCCTGGGGCGGGTAAAGGGACGCAGTGCGCTCGCATCGTAGAGGTGAGGGCGGCGGAGCGGGCGCCGCGCTGGTGGGAGGGGGAAGTGGGGGGCAGCGGGACTACATATCCCAGTATGCCCCAGGGCAGGGCTACGGGGTGTTCTGCGGGCGTTGCCGCGGGGCACTCTGGGGGTTGTAGGCTGCCGCGGGGTCCGGCCCCAGCCGCCCTCAGAAGCGAGGGGAAGGTGGCTGCATGTGGCGCCCGGGGCTGAGCCGAAAGGCCGCGGCGCTGGGTGGCGGTGGGTGACAGTGCTGCGGCTCGCAGGGCTTGAGGGCTGTGCCCCGTGCAGCTGGCAGCGCGACGTGGCAGGGAGGTGGCTCTTGTGCTGCTGCCAGCGCTGCACCTTCTGAACGAAGGCTGCTCAGTGCCGTGGTAGAGGTCAAAACGTGTTCTATAAGGTTATTGCTGTTCTCGCTCTTCAGCTGATGCTATAGGGTGAGGATTCCTGCTGTATTTTACCCATTTTCTGTTTTCCAAATATGTTTTGACAGCCCTGTGAGGTAGAGAAAATGCAAAGACAGGAAGGTGCGTATTGTATTTGGGCACAAAAAAAAAAAACAACAGTAATTGCACAGTAATCCACATTATCAGTAGATAATTACAGAAGTGTTTAATGCCTGGATGCTTCCAAATGTGTCTGTGTTGGATTTGTATGTTTTTGTTTTTCCCCCTGGGCAGCTGTACATTCTCATTGAGATCTGCAAAGGTTTGAGGTTTGTCCATACCCACGCTGAAAGAAATGACAGAGCTGCAGCAGTGCCCATGTTTCTAAATCTATTAATGAAAGGAAGAAACCAACCAAGGCACAAAGCCCCAGTGCCTGATACAGGCATGTGTGTCCTAGTTCTAATGCTGCAGGTTCCCTCTGCTGTTACATCCCTATTCTCTGCATGGAGGAACTCAGTTACATGAATTTGATCCATATGATCAAATGATGGCATGAAAAATGCCATTACGCAGAGTTCTGAAGGGTTTTAACCTCAAATTATAGACTGTTATTCAAACCAGCTTATTCCTTCCATTAAGTGGTGGGCTGAAAGGTTCACAGCATTTGTAAAGCTTTTTTGGTAAGGTCAAATTCTGTCCCTGGTACATAGCAAACAAATGAGCTTAAACTGCAGGGAATTTTTGTAGGCTGTCATTAAAGGCTTCTGCCAAACCATGAGTGGAACCTCAGGGCTGAAATGCCTCATGTGGCTGTTGCCATGTGTTTAGGAGTATAAATGCCTTTGGCTTTATAGGTTAATATAATTTGGTAAGGACCGTGTTGATAGGAATGAGTCATTTCTACTCAAACTGGAGCTGCAGCTAAAAATGGAAACAAAATTCACTTTGCTTGTACTGTGTTTATTTTCTTTTTGAGGCTAGCAAGAGAAGTCCAAAAGCTAATAAACGCAGACTTCCTCTAAACCTGCACATCCTATTCACTGCATGAGAAGAAGCTCCTGACATCCTGTGCAGGAGTCGCTGGCTTTGCTTTTTGGGAGAGAGAGTCTGAGGAGGCCTGGGCTGGGGTGAACCTGGTGGAAAATCTTAAAAAGAGCTCGAGCACGGACATGTCAATGAAATGCAGTTGAGGTGCTGTTGAGCAATAGATTTTCAAAGCGCACACCTTTGGCCTGGTCTTCACAATCTCCATGAGAGCCCTGATGCAGGCAGTTGAACAGCCTTCATGCAATCAGTGCTGCTTTCAGATTGAAAGCGTAGTTTTGTTTGGATTTTAGACCCTGCTGGCAGCTTTCCACAGAGCTATAGCTGAGTCATAATAAACCTCATTCATCCTTGTTGTATAAATGGACTGATTAATATTAGTTTACATTAGGAATGAATCTGATCCTGTATCTTGCTCTAAATCTGTGTTCAATAAAAAGTCAGTATGTGCTATAAATACTTCTCAGTTGCTGTACATTCTGGAGATCTGGGACAGAGCACATCACATGCAGGAGGCTCGCCTTGCTGGGCTGAGATCTTGTTTGATTTTAGCTTCAAGTGGTCTTACTGAAAAACAACAGCAGCAGTGGAGTAGAAGTCAGATTGGAATCAAAATCGATAAGGTTGGAAAAGACTACTTAGATTGTCTAGTCCAATCATCATCCCATCACCATCATGCCCACTAAACCAAGAACAATTTCTGATTGTGATTGTTTTACTGACTGTTCTACGTTGCCTGAAAATGAAATAGCGTCAGTCACAGTGCTTGAGAAATACAGAATTCACCCACAAAACTAAATCTCAGCTTGTGGAGCCCCTCCTAGGGATGGGTTCCTGTCATATTTGGACCAAAGTGGAGAAGTGATGTGAGGGAAGAATTTGCAGTAACCAGTGGGAATGAGTATTGACACAGTGTACAAAAGGGAGCAACAGGTAAGTGATGAGGTTTTATTATCTTTGCAGTTAAGGTTTAAAGAGGCAGCTGAACCTGCCTGCTTTCTGCTGATAGGGACAGAAGGCATATATATTCTGTGTGTGCACAGTGTTGTCACAGAAATGTAAATGCAGTAGAAATGCTGCTCTAGACCAATTCTTCCTATTTATGAAGAGATTAAGCAGAATTCCCTCAAGAATTCCCTCTTGTTCTCTCCCAGTTCTGCAGATGAACTCCTGCCACCTCCCACAGTTAAGGGAGCTTCTGATGTCACCTGAGATTGGTGCATAGCTTGTTGGGTGAGGCACAGTATCTGAGAAGGTAGTTCAGATGGCATCTGAATGCAGGTGCTTGAGATAAATGCCATGAAATGCATGAAGGTCATATCTTTTGTGATGGTGAGATCACTGTGTGCGAGCAAGACAAAATGAATGTGTTTTATTGCTGATTTCTGAACTTTGCCTCACAAAAACATTTATGGTACAGTCAAGGAAAAAATACCTTATTCCTCAAATCTGAAAAAAATGTTGAGTTCAAGTTTAAATCTTTACAAACTTTACCTGAAGCACAAAGCTCTCTGTCGGGGGGGAGGGGAGGGAAGCATAACAACTAAGTATTTAGTCTTCATTCAATGCAAATTTTAAACTGTTAGATTTTTTTTTTTTTTTTTTGTTTTTTTTTTTCTGGTTTTTTTTTTTTTCTGTTTGTTGTTGGCTGGTTTGGTTTCTTTTGTTTTTGTTTCAAAGTGACAAAGAGGTTTGGGGTATGCACAACATCTTCCTCTGAGCACACAAAAAGTACTTAGTCTCCACCACAGGCCTGTGCTGGATGTTTGTATTGAATTCCGAAATGAATCCCACCAAGTGGGATGCTGAGCTTTCTCCTTCTGTGAGAGTGACAGTTGGTATCCAAGTGGAGAAAGGTGTGAAGTTGTTTTGGGATATATGATAAAGAGGTTCTCTAGGGAGAAGAGAACTTTGGAAAGAACTCATTGTTTCAGGAACACTCCTCTGGAAGCAGCAGTGGGTTTAGCTTTTGTTGTCATGTGTTAATTGTCTTCCGGAGGTCTGTTGAGAGACAGCATTAACTTTCTTGAAATAAAAACGTTTTATAAGTTATTTACTTAAAACACAGTTTCTCAAATCTCTTCCAAGAGTGCCAAGTATTGGTAGCCCAGTTAGCTGTGAAGTTCTCATCATTGTTTGCTGGAATGTGAGTTCTTCTTCCTGAACTCTGGAGCTGTTTTGATTGTTTAAATCTGTTTTTCTCCTCTAAGGATTTATTCCCTATATGCTTCCATTTCACAGAATGCAGGCTTCCTCTCTGGGCACTGAATTTTGGGCTTACTCAACCTTCTCATTGAGCTCAACATTCCTGCAGCACTGGGGTGTTCTGTTTGCCCCCTCTTTCCGGGGGCTCAGTCAGTGGGATCTCCTTTGTGTGTTTTGTTTTGTTAATGTGATGTGGGTTTGTGTTTTTTGGTGTTGTTTTATTTTGCCTTGTGTTTTGTTTTTCCCCAGAGGCAGAATCACATCTCTAACTAGGAAAATAGCTTTTGGCTGGAACCAAGCGGACAGGAGGGCTGCTATTGCAATGATTTATGCCCTAAAGTTCTCTTTCCACGTGTTGATGGCACAGACAAAACATTTTAGGTTAAAAAAAAAAAAAAGTATGAGGACTGTGTCCTTTCCAAGGTTCTATTTTTATTTTAACTAGTTCTCCAGGAGCACACCTGAGAAAATACAGCAAACTGTGGTTCTTTAGTAAGATTGCTTAAGGTACGGCAAGCTGGAACTGAGGCAATAAAAGTTTGTATTTTGTTTGTTTAGCCCTTTGACTTTCATTTTTCGGATTAACAATGATAAGCCAAGATAGGATTCAAGGTCAGAGCGGTGATTCATTTTGCTTTTTCTTAGCTTCTGCTCACTCAGGGAGGTTTTGTACTCTCTGGATACTGCTGTGTTGGGAAGAAACTCTTGTGCCCTGTGCGGGCTGGCAGTGGGAGGAGTCGCAGCAGCTGATCTGTGCTGCTGATCCTGTGCTGCTGCATGGAGGAAGTTGCTAGAGTGAACTCTGCCCTACTCAGGAGTGGCACAGATATGACTCATCTGTTCTCATCTGTAGTTGATATTAATCTATTTATTGTATTTACAGTAAGTAAAACTTGTTCTGTCTATGGACTGTCAGCCAGGATTTGCGACTTCTTCATGTTTGCCCTGCTGAGTGGGGACTGCCTTTTCCAGGTCTTTGTATAAAGAACAAGCAAACTGTGGTTCCCTCTGTTTTATAGAGCACTGCTAAATGGTGTTCTAAGGAAAATCTCTCAGCTGGGATTGTTGGAGATTTGGACTTGCCTTTCTACTCCGCTGTGACCTTTGAAAGCGAAGGAGGAAGGTGTCTGCACTGGTGCTGAAGACAGATGAGATTTTTGCCTTTTGTTGACAGCTAATTTTTGTAAGAGACTGGATAATGGTTCCCTAAATATAAAAATATTTTTGAAAACAATGAAAAAAGCTTGTTTAGTAGCTGCATACTGATTTAGTGTTTTGTCATAGTAGAACATGCCTGCCAGCTGGCGTAGTGGAAAACTTATCTATGAGATACATCTTAGAATATTTTCTTTTCTGTTCTCTAGTCTGAAAATCTGTTCAGATTTTAGGTGCTTGACGTCCAACTATATTGAATTTTTTGGTTTAAGCTAGTTTCTGACTTAAGTTGTCCTTTCAGCCCTCTGCTAACGCCATGAATCTAACATGTATGCATTCTTAAAGAACTGAAGAAACTGTTTTTTTTATTATTTGGAAGCTACAACCATCCCTTTCTGATTGCAAAGAGAAGGCTTAGGCAGTGGTTGCTGTAATCCCCAGGATGGAGCTTGTTGCAAGATGTACTTGGCGCTTCTGGAAGTCGTGCTGGCACAGTGCAGGCTTGTAAGACGTGAGTGCCTTGCCCCAGCTGTTGTGCAGGAACATTGCAATCTCTTTTGCAAGCTCTTGGGGAGGCTGAGATTTGGTCCAGCTCAGGACGCGTGCTGAGGGTTTGTCTTGCCTGAGATGAAAGAAGACATTGTGTCCTGGAAACGTGGCTTCATTCAGACTGGCGAGGGCAGCATGAGCACTGCATCTCTGAAGCCTGCTGTGTGTGGAGCAGCAGTTCAGCCCCTGTCTGTGCTGATGGTGTTTAAGCTGTCATGTTGTTTTTGGCTCCAGCGCTCCATGCAGTTAACAAATAGATGTTTTGCCACTGAAGGAGAAGTTTGTTTATCTTACTGCCTGACTAATACGTTCTGAAGGTTACTCTGGAAGACAATTTACTATTATCCAAAACAACTCCATTTATACAACAGCACTCTGAAGCACTTCTATCTTTTACTTTCCCGTTCAGCCCTTAAGAAATAATCCAGCTTGCTGTTACAAATGACAGAAAATTCCAAAAATTGCCTGACTCCACTTCCTTTTTCTGCATGAGAAGGGACATGCCAAAGAAAATCGAATGGCTTGGTAATCCTCTGAAACAGAAAGGATTATATTTTCCTCCTGTTTTCTTCTGCATAGGAATTTAATGTTAAAAATACCATCGTTCTATAACTGTACAGAGAAGTCCGTGTTAATTTAGGGCTCGGCAGAGTGAGGTTTCCTGCTTAAGAGAAAAGATTTACTCTGGTTTACAGTGTCTGCAGTCCATAGTTAATATGCAGATTTGTAGTTAAATAAGCATATCCAAATGCAGTGCACATGAAAGCAGGAGTACAGTGAGCTTACAGAGGATGTCGGCGGAGGTTTTTCTTCACAGTTACTTAAAGCAAAATCTTGTTTCCTTTTCTTTCCAGATGTGTAGCATTTTGGAGATTTAGGTAATTATATCCCTTCTTAAATTATGTCTATGCAGAACAAACTTTCCACGCTTTTGTGGGTGAAATTGGAAAGCAACAGAAATGTTTCTAAAGCCACTTAGTGGGTTGTGTAATATTTCTGTTGTACTTAGTCCAGTCACCAAGTTTGTAAATCCCAAGTTCACTGCCCTGACATGCATTTAGTCACATTGATTATCCTGTTCAGGCACCGTTCTTGAAATTTGCTTTGGAAGCTGCTGCAGCCAAGCTGATAACCCTGAAGTAATTTGCTGCTGTTTTTGTTTTGTGTGAAAACTGTAGGACAAGTATGTATAGGTGTATTCTGTTTGTGGTGTGTGGCTAGCTTAGCTGTTTTATTGCCAGTTTAGTTTAAGTATTCATCAAGGAGATGTCTTTATGCCTGTTTTTATGTAGTATACTTGCCCAAGGAGTGTGCTTGGTTAGTTTTCTGGTGGTATTAAACGAGCTGAGCAAAGGGTTGTTTTGTGCTCTGAATTTTCCATTATAACAGCACGTCTGTGTTTTTTACAACAGCACATTTGTAGCTTTGCACTAGTTGTCTATTTATGATTGTACATGCCTGAGAAATTCAATTATAACAACTTTCACCAGCATTTGGCATTAGCAAAGCTTTCAACTTTTCTTTGAGGTGAAAGAAAAGGGTCATGGTGTTTGATGTTTTCCTGCATGCTGAACCCAAATCAATAAGCTTGGACCTGATCTCTGCTGTTTGCAGTCTATGGTGTTAAAATGTGTTAGAGGTTATTGGTCAATAAATCAGGTCATGATTTAGCAAGTGAAGAAGCTAAGCAGTAAAATTATGCAGGAGGGGATGTAGCTCAGAGAGAATCTGGAGTTTGTTAAAGGTCTCGTTGCACAATGCTGCATTTCTAGAAACACCCTGGGGCTTTGAGACCGTCATATTCCCAAATGTGACAGTGCTGCCTTTGGAAACAGGACACGAATGTCTGTGTTTTGCCCAGGAACCTCTCATTGTGCTTTCTGTGCATCCTGAAGGGTGGAATACATCTGTCACTAGCAAGCTGCTATTTCCTGTACTTTTCTGTCGTAATACAAAGGTAAATGTGGCTGATACTGTCGACTGATGTAAGTTTGCACATATTCAAGGCTGTCTGTGCCTGTTTCTTTTGCGCTTTTCAGAAGTACGGCTACACGCACCTTTCTGCTGGCGACCTCCTTCGAGACGAACGGAAAAGGCCAGGCTCACAATATGGAGAACTCATTGAGAACTACATTAAGGAGGGGGAAATCGTACCAGTTGAAATAACAATCAGCTTGTTGAAGAGGGTAAGGAAAGGGCCGTTCCCTTGCTGGTTCACTCCTGCGGACTAAGTGACAAAGCAGTGGCAGTATTTTGAAAGGACTGTTTTATCAGAACAGTCAAGCTAAGGAGAGGAGAAGAGCACCTGCTAATGTTCTGTGGGAGGAAAAGTTCCAATCTTTATCCTTATTAGATGTCTGGAAAAATAATCAGAATATCTCTTTTGAGATGGAAGAGGCTTCTTTTGCTCATTCAGCTGAACTTCTTTGGAGTTCTTTTCATTTGTATTAACTCTAGACCAGGCGCAGTTTAGCATCTTGTACTGCTGTGTGCTGTTACACGATATTGTAGAGTATAAACTTTTGAAGTTGGGCTTTAAAAGATTTTAAGCATAATGAAATAGTGCAGTCAGTTTGAAAGGAGCTCCGTTGCTGCATCAGTGAAGTAATTAGAATGGGTTGAAGATGAAACAAAAAAAGTACATTGTAAACCTGCAAGTTCTTTACAGAGAGAGTGGTGAGGTGCTGATGGAACAGGCTGCCCAGAGAGGTTGTGGATGTCCTGTCCCTAGAAGTGTTCAAGGCCAGGTTGGATGGGGCCCTGGGCAGCCTGGTCTAGTATTAAATGTGGAGGTTGGTGCCCCTGCCTGTTGCGGGGGGTTGGAGATTCATGATCCTCAAGGTTCTTTCCAGCCCTGGCCATTCTATGATACTGTGATCCTGTGCAATAGTTCTACAATAAATGTTTCTTAATTTAAATATATGAATGCTTTGGAGGCGATGAAAGAATTGATAAATAGTTGCCTGTGCAGGAGGTCTTGATTTGAATTCTTTTGTCAGGCTATGGATCAAACAATGGCTGCAGATTCCCAGAAGAACAAGTTCTTGATTGATGGCTTTCCCAGAAACGAAGATAATCTTCAAGGCTGGAATAAGACTATGGATGGAAAGGCGGATGTTTCTTTTGTTCTCTTCTTTGATTGCGACAATGAGGTAATGAAGTGTGCTAGGCTGTAACTTCCTTTCTTGCTGTATTGTGAGAATCACTCAAGAAGAACAATAAAACTGTTGAGTAGTGAATCTTACAGTATTAGTAGCCTGGTGTAGAAATAAAATGTGGTCAGTGAGTTTTGGGGATTTTTGGCAGCCTGTTTTTGCAGATGAAAAACTGCAGGCTTTTGAAATAGCAAGTGGATAATTATACTTGGTATGATCTTGTACAAATAAATTACATTGAGGAAACAACTCAAATAATTGCGTTCTTAAGGAGAGTTTATAAAATCTTTAAATATATTAAACAATTATTTGATTCATGGTCAGAAGACACTGCTGTGTTTACTCTTAAGGATTTCAGAGTACTTGTTCAGTCAGAAATCAGTTTAATAGCAGTGTTTGCTTTAATTCTGTGGTGGTGACAGCATACATCTTAATTTTCATAGTTGTGAGCTGTGCTGTAGGTACCCAATGATCAACATTTTACTCAGCAAGTCATTAGATTTTAAGGACTTTTTGACAGTGATACAATTAGTCCTTTAAGAAATGCCATGCTGTGCTGTCTTTAAAATATGGCGGTGCCCTTGAGGGATAGAAACTGATACAAAAAATCCAAATGTCTTAATCTTTCCTCTTTTTTTGGCCCAGTTTTCTCATGAATAGATTATTGTTGAACTTAATTGCACACCACAGAACTTGATGCTTCTTTTGTTTCCACTATTTAACTCTGTGTGAATTCTGGGTTACGTTCATCGAATCTGGGCGGTATTTTGAGCGTCAGGCCTATTTAGATGTTTTTCAAAGGTCTGCTATTGATTCAGGATTTTTTGTCTGTTCCTGCTTTTCAGATAGCATGTTATGTTCTTGGTTGTGATTGTCCTTTTGATGCTTATTTTGTAGATATGCATTGGTCGCTGTCTTGAAAGAGGCAAGAGCAGTGGCAGGAGTGACGATAATCGGGAGAGTCTGGAAAAGAGGTACTGTGTCCCCAACATTTCAGCTCTCTTTTCTTTTAATTCTATTATGTAATGCTTTCTTTTTTTTTTCTCCTTTGCTTTCTCCTAGAATTCATACGTATCTGCAGTCTACGAGGCCTATAATAGACTTATATGAGAGAATGGGAAAGGTTAGAAGAGTAGATGCCTCTAAATCGGTTGATGAAGTAAGTATATAAGCCAAAACATATGGAAGTGACAGTAGCAGGGTATGAACTGATGCTGTTTTTCTTGTATGTGTGTATGGCTGGTGAAGTCAGTTTGTTACTGGTAGAGGTTGTAGAACTTTCAGTTTGGCTCTTGAAGAACCGATTGAGATGGGAATAACTAAGAAATTGATTTCTGCTTGAACATGAGCTGGACTAAACAGATTTTTGGTGTTTCTGTGTAACAGTTTGTTGTTCTTGGCTTTTTTTCCACTTTTGTGAACGTTGAAATGCTTAATATTAAGTCCCCATTTCCTAGAACTGATTCAAATTTTTCTACTAAATAATTAGTAGAAATTCTTGGAAAATCATTTTTAATTGCTATCAATTACTGCATTCCGGGTTAATTTCAAGTGACTGTTTACCTAACGCTTCATAAAACTAATAATCTTCTCTTTCTTTTTTAGGTCTTTGAAAAAGTTGTACAAATATTTGACAAAGAAGGCTAATTTCCAGCTTGGAGGATCGTTTAAACTTGTGCTTGAATCTTGTTTGAATAGCTGCTACTGCAGTCCACACTTTGTAATTGTTTTACGTTGGGTTGTTTTTTTTGGTGTTTTTTTCTTTTCACATATCAAATCACAATTGGAAAAGCAGTTAATTAAAAATGGGTCTTTTTTTTTTTTTAATAGGAAATCTTTTCTTGTGGCTATAATTATGAGTTTTCTGGTTCTCCATTTGTATAAGTTCAGTTGCTCACACAGTTCTGTGCCTATTACAGGCAGCCCTTCTTGTTCCATATTGCCACACACCTATTCTTCTTAATGATCAATTAAGCAGCAGCATTAAGCAATGCCCTTGTTTGTCTTTTGGATGCTTGGACCAAATTGAGGATACTGGGTTTTGGGTTTTTTTGGTTGGTTTTCTTTTTTTTTCAGAGTGTAATTTTTGTCACCAAGTTCTCTGTTATCCCCAGACATGGATTCTGTAGGTAAAGCTGCAGTTAGTATGAGAATCTGCTTTTGTAGTTTCCACAAGGCTACTTAATATGCAGTTCAGCAATAGAATACAGAGTACTTAATGGAAAATGGTGCTGTCTTATGATTCTGGGTGTAAACTGTCTTGTAAATTCTTGACTACCTGGATTGACATGGCCCTGGGCTGTGCCTTGTCTTCATTTCCAAAATGCTGAGGGTATCAGTTTTTAAGTCAGGTCAGTGTTTCCTAAATAAATTCTCATTTATTTTGAATGATAGTTTTGTTCTTAATTAGAGCACGGCCTTCACAAGGTGCGAAACTATTAAATAGTGTACAAAAAAAAAGCAAATTCTTCTAACAGTTCTGTCTTTTGTAATAAGTGGAAGGGATTTTCTGTATTATAATTATTGCAATACTGTGTAACCGAATGCTCTAAGGTTTATTACCTGGGGAAATATTTTTATGGTTAAACTTGTGAATTTGTTTCCCTAAAATTGTATGATTTTAATAACTGTTTGTTTGAGAAGATTATAAATATTGCACTTTTGTTATGATGTGGCCAGCAAAAGGGAAGATATCTTGCAGAAGGAAGCTCTGTTCCCTTAAACAGATTTGACCCTGCTTTATCACATTCTCTTGAATTAGTGCAGTCAGATGCCATTATACTGGGGAGAAGCAGATAGCTAGCTGAAACAAACAGTGTTTTAAATATTTGTACAGATGTGTAATCCTGCCTTTTGCTTAAAGTAACCCCCTGTCCCCACCTCCCATCAGACTAATATGCACAGGTCTGTGGGGGCCCAACCACGCATTCCTTGCACACCCTGAGCTTTCTCTGAAGAAAGCCCCAGAAGAGTTGAGGATGGGTGTTTTAACTAATTTTAGTGATACAATTTGTCTTGCTACATTAACTGACACTGTAATTGGTGTGTGATATGCTAATGGTACTGCCAGTTACAGCTTGGAAAATTGGGGTTCAGCTTTTCTTCATTGATTACTCTCTATTTAAAGAAAGCTTTACATTTAGCCTAGCTTCTAATGAGAATCAGATGCGTTGGTCCTCATGCTGTGATCTGTTCTGTGCTGGCAGATTTGTACGTGCATGAGTTCTCATTTTGCTGAGGTTCTCGAGGCTGTTGGACTGAGTAAGAGATAAGTACAGAAACAGAGGGTAAACTACAGTATCTTTTCTGGTTCAGTGGTAGTTTTAGCAGAGTACTGAGCACAAATACCTGTTTACTACTGCAGAGTATATGGACCATGATGACTGCTGTGAGTGTGGGAGGCTAATGCTTTTGCTGTACGGATTTTCCCTTAAATAAATAAATCATGGAATGTAAATCTTATTCTGTATGTATGCTGACATAGGATAGGATCCAGTCAAACTGTTTTAATGTGAAGGCTAAGATCAGGATTTTTTTTCAAGAAGACTTCAAGCAGGATTCCTTAATCTACTTAGAGATTTAATAACTTTTCTTTCTAAGTTACTGGCTCTTGCAGATTCTGCTGGGAACAGAAGTTTTCTCATCATATTCTTTTATGTATTTAAGTGCTGAAACAAGCAAAACCTTTATAGGAAAGTTGGTTTTGTTTTGTTCACTTTGTTTTTTAAGAAAGAATGTTTCAGTAGTATTGAATTTGGAGTGGATTGTAATGTGTCTGTGCAAAGGCTAGATATTTTTTGTCATTTTATTTATTTAAGATGCCATTAATTGTTGCCAGTTCTTTCAAGTTGGAGTTCACATTGAAATGAAGGTTGAAGGTAGTATGCCAATGTGTCATGCCCATTTAGCAGCAAAACTGTACGAAGAATTTGAGAAGATACAATAAATTTTGTTCTGTGGCTGAATATAAGTGCTTGGCTTACAGTTCTCTGCCATAAGGTGTATTTTTCATATAGTTGTTTGTGTTTATATATATATATATATATATATATATGTGTACACTTTATACATCTGGCGTGCATACATACACACAGATGTGTCTATAGAAGTTCAGCTTTCCCCATCAAAACTGAAGTCCTCAAGACCTTGTTTGGTAATGGATAAGATCAGGCTAATGCCTGTGGAATTGGTATCTTTTCTTGCTTGTATAGATCTGTCAAATTGATTCTTACATTCTCAAAGTGGTAGTGCTGGAAATTGTGTGCTTAAGGGAGCTTTTCTTTATTTTACAGTACTTATCAAATGTGTTGGTTGAGGACTTGCTATTGGACACTGGTCTTGGCTCTACTTCAGAAGCAACAAAGCTGCTTTGGATGTCAGTGCAAGCAGGACTGGCATAGTGTGATGTGGTATTTGTGTTTATTTTTAAAAACAAACACACACACACATATACACACACACACACCAAAAAAAAGAACCTGAAGGCTGCCTGGCTAATTTTAAGTCTTTGCATTTCACATCATGCACTTGATGACAAACCTCTGTTTATTCACACGTAGATTTTCAGTAAACAACATGTTGGTGTTAAAACCTTATTCTGGAAAGATTTGCACAGCAGGCCTGAAAGGGACTGGGAAGAGCAGAGAGTTTTCCAGCAGCATAAGTATCTTTCTTCTGGTAAGACAAGTTAAGCAAATGTCTTTTCAGAAACTTGCTGAAACCTGAGGGTGTGGAGTCTCAGAGGGAGCAGAGGAAAGGGGCAAGGCTGTGTTAGCTTAACCTACAGCAAGCTTTGCCCTCCCATGAAGACTTGAACTGAAAATCCCTGCCTGAGCAGTGCTGGTTTGGTGGGTGTGTGAGGGCAAGAGGAGAGACCAGCATGGAGAAAAACTGAAGCATGGAGTTGAGTATTGTGCCAGAGTAAGACGTTCCCCACTAGCAGCATTTATTTTTAAAAGGGTTTCTTGAGGTTGTTCTGAGATCTTATGCAAAATGCTGTGTCTTAGAAGGAGAAATCTAAGTGGGGAGGTTGTGCTGCTGCCCAGGCTGAACTGAGGAGAGTGGGAGAGTGATGTTGAAAGATCCTCAGTTCAGACTAGGGCTGCCAACTGTTACCTGTTGGCAGGTCTGAAGCTGACAGCAGTTAGGATCCTACGTTACAGATTAGTGAATTACTACTGTACTTAGCTTTCAAGTTCAGCACCAGTTTGCTCCCTGTTCTGAAGCAGATGTCTTTGAAAGCTGCCATCTACGACCATGCAGTTGGCTGCCTGTTTAGATGAGAAGAGCAGATTATTGGAGCTGCAGCAGTGCTTGGACGCTGCTCACCTAGGGCTGTGTGCTTGCCACAGTCTGAAGATCCCAAAAGTAACAGCTGAGAGTGAAAACTGCAAGATGATGCAAAGACGATTCAGCTAATCGGATAACAAAGGAGACAGCAACAAAAATATTAAGACTTGATTTCATAGAGCAGCAGCTCTCACCCTCTTTTGATCTGCAGACCTTTACAAATCTTCCAGTGCAGATATGGGGGCACAGATGAATTTAATCCTGCTGCTCTCAGCTATTTTTCATGGATTGCTTAGTTTAAGATGGTGGTTTTCAGCCTTGGTCTGTAGAGTATTGCTGTTGGTAACAATAGATGTCTTTATTGAGTCTGCTAATCTGCTCAGCTGAAGTATTCTCTATCCTCTTTGCTTTTTGCCTTTTAATGTCTTTTCCTTACCTTTCTGAATTGCAGATTCTCTTTGGGATGGCGAAGAGTTGCTCTTACCAATCTTTGTTCCTTGCAAAAGAAGCAAAATCTTTATGTGCCTTCAGCCTACGACTGTTTCTGCCAGTGAGCTAGGTGCCTAATCTGCTGCAAAACTGACATTGTTGAGCACGTTGTGGTATTTTTTTTTTGAACTATAAGAAATCTTTGTAGTACCTGTGTGCTTTTCTCCTGTGAGTGAGATCAGATCCGTCCATCAGGCTTTTAGCACAGAGCTTAGCAGCAATTGCATGTGAAAATCTCAATCAGTAGGCATTGAACTTGCAGCGACCTGTTATGCCTTGGTGGAAGTGAGTGAGCTGAATGAGGAGGGGAGTAAAGGTGCTTATGGAAGTTCAGTCAATTCTCCTTCACTAATCAGACTTCAGCTTTAGGTATACATCTGTCTATTCTGTTCAGCAGTAATGCTTGTATTTAACCTAGCTCATCTTTTCCCAATTATGCTGGAGAAAAATTCATACAAGTGCTTTCCCTGCCCTGAAGCTGGCTCTCTTCCCTTGTTGTCATTTCCACCTGGAGTTGCAGGAGTTGCAGGGATGAGAATCTGTCTTTAGGGTAAAGCTGTAGAAGCAAAGCTGGGCAGAATGAAGACAAATGGAGCCATTCTTGTGGAGAGCTAGATACACAGCTTTTTTTTTTTTTTTCACTATGAACAGCAATGCCAGGCTACTTTGTCATCCTGGTTTATAACTGCATTCAGACAGCAAAAGAGAAATGTTCTCTTTCCCCACAGTTATTTGGCAGAAAGCTCGCTTTTGTCTAAAATGCTCCTTAAGCACTGTGCAAAACATTCAATCCTAAACCAAATACCAGTTTGAGTTGTGCTTTTTCTTTCTTATTCTCAAATAGGAGGGTTTGGGTCAGTTTCATGCTGTAGTGAGACAAAAAAAAAAAAAAAAAAAAGAAAAGGAAGGCACCATCCCAAAAGATAATATCTGCTCTGTTCTGGAGGGCTTTTTAGCACAATGCAGTTCCTTTATGGTAAGAAATGGCAAAGGTTGCCCGATTGCTGGTCAGCTGTCAGGGTAAGTGTAATGATATGTGATGGAAATGGTGTCTTCTGCAGCAGATCTGCTTGTGCAGAGCTAAACTCCTCAGCACACTTCTTCATTTAATCCTGTGAGATGTGAAAAAGGTGCTTTGGAATAACTTGTCAGTTGGATCAAGTCTCAGGAGTGAAGCTTAATCTACCATGGAAACTTCAGGGACTGCTAGAATCTCTGCAGGTATTTGGAGGGTGTAAGATGTGGTGGTGTTCTTTCCTGGCTGAGCACAGAGCTGTCTTTTCAGGTGAATGCTTCAGGAATTGCCACTGTTGTGGCAGCCAGACCCAGCTGAAATCACCGAATATCCCAGTGGCTGTGGTGCATTTTAACCCGAATACCTCTGTTGTTGGAAATAGGGATAGTTTTACTGTATTCCTTTTCATTTAAAATTTTCTAAATGCACTTTACCACTTCCTTGTGACCTAGAGCTCAGGTTTGAAGTGCTGTTCCTGAAGCAAGCGTTGCACTTGGCTCACCAGTGTGACTTCAGCATCCAAGGAAGCTCCACAAGTTGTTGGTGAGAGCAGGTTGCTTCCAGCAGTAGACATCCCACAAATTTATGTGTATTCTTTAAGAAAAGTACCAGGATTTTCTGCTAACTGCAGAAATTCATGACGGATGCCTTCACCATCTGTTACTTGTTCTATAAGCAGCCTTCATTCAAAAGTAACCTTTAAGCAAACATCAGGATTGAGTAATTTAGCTGTTCCAATGTGACACGCACATCTACACTCTCCTCTTTAATTATGTTTGACGCACGTGCTTATATTTGACTATTAGTGAGAGGGAGAGTCATTCCTGTCTCTAGCCTGCAGACATTCACAACGCGGAGAAGACAACGTTTGGAGCCAGAAATGAAAAGTTGGCTCTGGTTATTGGCTCCACTTTTTTGGGAAGTGGCCCCACAGGCTCCTGGAAGTACGATTTTTGCTCACAAGGCAATTGCTTCGATGCACCACAAGGAGGGGTGCAAGGTTCGCACAGCGGAGGATGCAGATTGGAAGTGTCACTCATCGGCTGTGCGATGTTTCCTGAGGTTTGAAAGAATTTTTTACTTAAAAAGCATGTTTCATTTCAGTGGTGTAACTTAGTTTCTTTATGGGATTTTTTTCCTTTTGTTATTACTGTGGGATAGCTTTCTGTTGCAGAGAGATCTGCTGCGTTGGTAATTTGACAGCAGTGAATGTTATGCTTTTTTTTTTTTTGTCAGTTTATATAGTTATACCTAATGAGGGCCAACTTAATTAGCGTGGATGTTCTGCCACTGCATTCACGATAGCTTTGTCATCTTCATCCTGAAACAATGAGATAACTGTACAAGGCTGGCCTGGGGGAGATCTTTCTGTTAGTAGAGGAGTCATACCTGGTGTTTTGGGGAGCTCATAGAGCCATAGAAGAGCTGGATTGAAAGGGACCTTAAAGCCCACCCAGGTCCAACCCCCTGCTTTGGGCTGATCGCCCCCCAGCTGCCCAGGGTCCCAACCTGACCTTAATCACCTCCAGGGTTGTGTTCCTGGTTTCTCCATCCCAGAGAGCCTCAGAATTGAGCTCTGCCCTGGGTTGGCAAGGGAATAAGATCTACAGGTGATGCTGCTGGGAAAAGCCAAGCACTAAGCATCCAAATCCAGTTTACAGGGCAGTTTTAGAGGAAAATGTCTGTAGTTACACGGTTAAGAACCTCAACACACAGAGAAGTTGTGGGTGCCCCATTCCTGGAGGTGCCTAAGGCCAAGTAGCATGGAGTCCTGGGCAGCCTGATCTGGTGGGGGGCAACCAGCCCACAACAGAGGTTGGAACTGGATGCTCTTCACTGTCCCTCCCAACCATTCTATGATTCTACTATACAGACTATTTTACCCCTTCAGCCATGGCTACAAAGATACAATACTACTGGCTATCCTTCAGCAGGGAGCAATAATGGACCCATGCTTCCTGCTTAGCACTCAGCTTGGAGAACTGAGGACAGCTCATCTTGTTCCCTACAAACCCATGGTGCTGGACAGGAACAGAGGAGGAATCTGCAGGGCAGTCTGAAAACCAGTAACAATTTGGGAGTGCTTCCCCTTCTGGGATGTGGCATCTGTCAGTACTTTGGTCTGCAGCAGAGATGGACGCGAAGACCACCTAATTATGCTTCAGATAACAT